TCTTATCTCAAGAATAAATCAGACAACCTGAAAGAGGAAAGGAATCAATCTGCTAAACCAACTCTTGTTCAAAAGGTTTGTATTCTTCTTCAGTTACATTTAACTTTTGATTTATTATGTGTAAGTGTTCGTTTTCATCTCACTTCAGCCGTGTTTTGAGATGATAAGAAAATAGCTGTGTCTCAAATCAGGGCGCATATCCATTGGGTCTTTGCTTTAATCGGAGGAAAATGTTCTACTGTGATTCACTTATATGTGAATTATTTTTCATTCCTATAGGAAGAGGAGCCCCATCCAACCCACTCTTTTGAGTGGAAATCAAGTGGCAAGACAGGCACACTTGTTTCCTGCCAAACAGCAGGAACTGTTGAGGACTCACTGAAAAGAAACGCACAGTTTAGAGGAATAGCAAAAAAGAACAAAGACAAAGAACTTGTTCTTATCAGAAATGGGAAAGCTATTAGTTCACACTTCCCATGCAGCTTAATTAAAGAAGAGAGTTTAACTGTCAAGTATATCAAAGCTTCACCAGAGAAACAAGATGGTGGCTCTGTCCATGTCACCAGAAAAGGCTCATCTGATGAGGTTTTGTTGTTTCATGTTCTGGTGAGAGGTGGGAAGAATATAGTGAGAATCATGAGAAACCCAGAACTAAAAAGCCATGTTCAGGAAATTACCATTTTTGCATTCAAAGATGAAACTGTAAAGCACGCTCTAAGAAGAGATGCTCGATTTCTGAATATTATATTCCAAAAGAACTGCATGCTCTCCAACATTTCTACTGAAGCCACTGTGGACATGGCCAATCTGGTGGATAACCTCGGTGACAACACTTACAGAATCATACTGGGCAATAATTTACCAGCAAGTCTGCCTAGCAGCCTTGAAGAAGATTTCACACAGACAGCTGAGTCTCAGAGAGCTGACTCTGGGAAAGAGCAGGATCCATCAGAGCAGTCAGTGAATGACAATGCCAACACAAGTGGTCACACAGCGCCAAAAAATACCCCAATGCCTAGCTCAGAAAAAATGAAGCGTTACCTCTCTTCGGAGTTTGAATATATAATAAAAGGGAAGAAAACTGTTCAGAAGCTCTCTCGTACCCAGAATCTCTTGCATGTCGAGTATGGCAAAAATGCTCAGACGTGCACTGAAGTGAAAACCATGAAGAAACTGATGGATCTCAGTAATTCAGTTTGTCAGGTTAGAATAAACGGCAGACCAATGGCAAGTGGCTTTCTCCTATTCGACAAGTTTGTCCTCACAAATGGCCATGTGGTCAATGACAATTATAATGACACTGAAAGGCAGCTTGATGCCAGGGTCATCGTCCATTTCTCTTATGAGAGTCTAGATCAGACGGAGAGAGGACAGGATTTGGTTGAAGAAGTAGAAGTAGAGGAGGTCGCTGGCTTTGAATTCTCTACCGAGCAGATGTATGACTGGGCTTTGTTAAAGCTCAAGGATGATGTGAGGTTGCCTTATCTGTTAAACAAATGTGGATACATTAACCAAAGCCATGGAGTTTGCATTATCGGGCATCCTGATGGTGGAGTGAAAAAAATAGATCCATGCTTGATTATTGCATCTGAAAAGCGAATCGAGGTTGTGGACAAGAGCTTTAACAAAAATCGAGAGAACATTCAATTGATAACGCAGCGTTTCTTTGACGGTGTGGCAAAATATGTTGAGCATCAAAAAAATGTTCTAACTTACAAAACCTGTTTTTATGGTGGGTCGTCAGGCTCTCCTGTCTTTGATAAGGACTGCAAGGTTTTGGCAATGCATTCAGGAGGGTATCTGTACGAAGATACAAGGGGGGCAACAAAGAGTGTCATCGAGTTTGGCTATCCTTTATCTAACATCATTGAACGCATCATAATCCAGCTGGTTGAAAGAGAAAAGCTTGACGTGTTGAGTGCATACCTCGCATCTGATAATACACACCTCAAAACCATGAGGAGGAATGTGAAGAAACTGGTGGAGAGCAGAAATCTCACAACATTCAAAGCTGTCGTCAGCCGTCCACTGACAACGGATGACGAGCGTTTGAAGGAGCTTTTTGAATTCTTCCGTCAGAAAGAGGAACCTGTCCCAATGGAATTCTAATTGAATCAATCAATTACAGTGCTAACTGTTGACAAAAGACAGTCAGAAAACAGCAAGCGAATCTGTTTTAATTGATCAGGACACTTTTGCTAACCACGCGAGGAAAGGCAGGGAGTTGTAGAGGGATCAAACTGTGGCTGGTTTATAAATTGCTCTAAGCAACACAAATCACTGGAGCTGTGTGCTTTTCGCCTGATGTGCAACTCCATATACTTGTTTTTGTTGAGGCTGTATATCAAACACCTTTTTTTTTTTAACACATTTATCATAGTATGAGCTACAAATTTTTTTTTAATTGTCATGTTTTCACCTTGTGTCACTGAGATTTTGATTCAGCCATTTTTTTCAAGAATGTATAGGATTTTGTGTGCATTTGCTGTATTTTGTCATTGTATATCATATATGTTGCTTATTGTATTGCAAAGGTCTACTGAAAGGATAATTGGGATCTTATCTGGTCAAAACTGGGTGATACTTGTTTTTATTACTCTGTAAGACAATGAAAAAGATGGATGAGTGGACCTTCAATTATATTCTTTCTTGTATTGGTTTCGGTCGTCATTTAAAAAAAAAAATTGAGTTAAATCTGTGTGAAATAATCTATCTATAATAACCTATTCTGTCTCAAACGATGTCTGTCACTTGTCAGCATCACATGCAAACATCTTTTGTATTGATATTACTGTGTTTTTTTTAACGGGGATATAAACGTTATTGTTACTTTGCTGATTATCATAGTTACTATTTTACTTCATGGTTATTTTGTATTTTCTAATTTTGTGTATATCGGTTGAGGCTTTAAAACTATCCCATTGGGCTTTCTGCCTCCCCTGCACTGTCTATTATGTTTTGTGATTTTTCTATGTATCCTTTTCATCTTTGCTGAATAAAACCTAAAATACCTTAAGTGAATTGTTTCTTCAATTCCTGTTTTGTGTAATAGGTTAAAGAGTTAAAGCTTTTTTTCTTTAGTTATAATCTGAATCCACAAAGTTTTCTCACATCCTAGAATAAACCGCGTTTTCTGAAAATACACCAAAATTAAATTACATGGTGTTTTTTCAGCATAGAGAAGTTGTGAAACTTGTGAAATAAAAACTCATGTGGATCCTCCCAATAATGTACATTCACAAAATAAAAGTGATAAATGTCTTAAAATTCCTTTCCGAAGGAGAATGATTAAGAAGGAGAAGAAGAAGAAGAAGGAGAAGAAGAAGAAGAACAAGAACAGCTTGGTGCCGGCGGAACGTTTGACGCGTCCGACAATTTCTACACGGACGCTTTTGTGCAGGGAAGCATAAACCACGGGGCTGACAAAATGGAAGTGTAAGATTTGTATTTATTGAATTTTCATCGATGTCTGTGCACAGCTCTTTATATTCAGTCTGTGGTGCACAGTGAGGTTCTGTATGGTTGGTTGTGTTTATCATTCAAACTACAGTCAAATGTTGAAGGAATCAGCTTCAGTTTGTGTGGAAACGAGAGTTTAATGTCACAGCCGGTGTTAGAGTCATGTTCACGCTTCTCTCTTTAGAAACAAACGATCAAAAGACGAATGAAGCCTTTGGGGGAGAGCTGGTGTTTCCTGTTTGTGTATTTGTGCTCAAGCAAATGATTAATACACAATGAACTCCTCTTGAGATACACAATCGGACCCGGTGCTGGACGCTATAGATGTAAAGGATATTTCAATAATTATTGATATTGTTTTATTACGCAGAACCAATGGGAGCTATTATTTAACAATAAACTACAGGCATCTTCAATTAAAAAGTGAGGAAAAGAATGAAGAGCTTTTTTAAATCAATATAAATCAATTTGTCATGGACAGAATATTAATTAACCGTTTTAAGTGATTTATGCAAAACATGCTTGTGCTTGTTTTCTGTGTCACCGCTCTGGATTTAATGAGTGTTTGTGCTTTTGGGAAAGTGTTACAAGCGTTTTACCATTGTGTTGATTAGCCTGTCGGATCAACGAGGACCTAAACGTCTCAAGTGCCAAAAAGATAATTCTACCAAATAAATGATTATTATTCAAATAATAATAATGGAAAAGAAAAGTGACCATGATGTGATTCACTGAATTTTTAACTTGCCTGTGTCCACATCAGTTCCTATTAGTCTCCCTCCCATCGTGACATTTTTTTAAATTTCTAATGCAGTCTATATAATCCAGACTCAAGGTCCACAGTTCATCGTTCAGAGCTTTCAGCCACATCTCATGATCTTCATTCAGCAACCACAGGAGGCTCAGGTGTCCACACGTGCCCAAAGTAACACCTGAGTTAATGCTGCTCACTAAATAAGGACTCAGAGATGCGGTTAAAAGCTCCAAAGTCCAGGAAGTTGATAACTGAGATTACATTATTTGTTTATTATTTTAAGGTCACAAATGAACTTTTCTGCTCATGCATTTGTCATCTTTTCAGGAAAAACGCCAACGCTGCTATGCTCAGTAACTACGAGGTGAGTTCACGTGTTCTGTCCTTTTTAAATGTTTTTCCCCGTCCAGTGATGAGATGGACATACTTCTGTGTCACTTCAGATTTGGTCTCTGTGTTTTTCAGGTGTTCAAACTCCTGACAGACCTGAAGGAACAAAGGAAGGAGAGTGGGAAAAGCAAGAACAGCTCCGGGCAGCAGAACTTAAACACCATCATGTATGAGGTCGGCTTACATCCTCTCCTTAGCTTCACTTCACTCATCCTGCTCTGTGTCCCTGTCGTGTCACATTTAGACTTTAAAAAAACAAAAGAGCGAGCTCAAAGTTTCCTTTGCTTTGCCACACAGACACTCAAGCACCTGTCGAATACGCCCTGCAGCAGACAGAGTCCAGAGGTGGTCAAAGAGTTCCTCACCACCATGATGCCTCACAAACTCACCAAGTCAGTAAGATCTCTCAAATACTTCAAGGTTCAGTGTGTAGAATTTAGTGACATCTAGTGGTGAAGTTTCATGTTGCAGCTGATCACCCCTCCCCTCCCTCTCTCCTCCCAAACATGAAATAGAACCTGTGGAAACCTTCAGTTGTCATGAAAAGTTTGTCCAGTCTGGGTTACTGTAAAAAACATGGTGGCCTCCATAGAGAAGACCCCCTAGATGTCAATATAAAGTATTTAAATATAAAGTGTTTAAATATAAAGGCCCTTTTCTAGAGTAAAGAAACAACAATTCTATCGCATGAAAACATCACTAGGATGATTCACATTCAATTTCTGCCAATAGATCCCTTTCACCTATATCTGACCCTTTAAAAAACATAACATACTTAACATATACAGCAACTTCAGATGTGTGTCTGCACTGTTCTGTTTACCACGTACACACTGATGATATTGTTTCTCTCTCATCAGGGCTGAGAAACTGCAGCTACTGAACCACCGGCCGCAGACAGCAGTGGAAATTCAGCTAGTGAGTGTTTTACTCCACACTCACCACACTCACCACAAGCATGCAATAGATGATTGTTGTAAAAATATAAATCAACCATTTTAATGATTCTTTAGCGATGCACAATTTTTATTAGCAGAATCTGAGAAATATGGAAAAACTAGCAAGAGCAGGATACCCTTTGAAAGTATATCACCGTTACATACGCCTGCACTACACATTGACCCACACCACCTGACAACTGCTCGAAGCCGACTTGTGACTCACTCACTTACTTCAGTCTCTGCATCAGCGGTGATTGTCTCCCCAGCTTGTGAAGAGTCCGGTCATGCACAGTGAGAGCACAGGCAGGGTGCATGCAGCAAATCATTGAATTCAGTCAGAATGAAGTGACTGGTTTGGTTTCTTACAGTCCTGCGAGGGCCACAGACACTGGCTCTTTTTTTTTTTTTCAGACACCTTTAAACATTGATGGCTATCGGGATGTGATCAGCAAATAAGACCAAACACGTTTCAGAAACAACTTACTGTGTCCCCCTACCTTTCATTTTCTGTTTGTGTGCAGATGGTAGAGGAGAGTGAAGAGCGTTTATCAGAGGAGCAGATCGAGGAGCTCATCCAGACGGTCGCGGTCATTCTACCTGGTGACCCTGAGCAGGAAAATACTGCACCAGCAGAAGCAGAGATGGATGAACAGTCATGATGCAGTGAAAGGCCTGAAATGACCCACAGGTGAAGAATTGGACTGGTTGCTTTATTTCTTATCACTGCTTGAACTGAACAATGTCCTGACAGACATGGCTCACAGTACATGGATATCACTGAAAAGCCTCATTGAATGATTCACATGAAGGTGAAAATACACACGTTGTGTTGTCATTTATATGTGTACAAACAGCTGGATTCAGATCCCATGTGTGCACTCTTTCTTAATTACAGGTTTTTGAACAGTGACTTGTTTTGCTCCTGACTCTGACACCGATTTGTATTTCACAGCAGATAATATTTTGGCAGAGACCGTCTGCTATTAACTTGTTTTTATTTTTTGTTTCTTTATGATTTCCAAAGCTATAATATATCATAATATGTCAGTCATGCCGTTAAACCTGCATTAGTCAGACAGTATTATTACAGTGACTATGAAACAACAAGTACAGTTGGGACCATGAGGTGACTGGGTTGAAACGTTGTCTTCTTTTTTAAACTTGCTGACCTTTTCGCTCAGTAACAAAATGAAACCTAACAGCCGTGAATGAAAGAAAAGGCATTAACACCAATTTCTGCAGATGTTTTATGAATGTTGATGTGCTGAAGACAAAATGAAAAAGGTACTTCTGGTTCTCATGTGGTGCAGCATAACAGACTGAACAGCCGCTGCTGAAGCAAGGCCATTATCTGAAACTCCTTTGACACTGGTGTCACCTTCAGCTCCTGAAAAGAAGTGTATCCTCTCTCTGTGCGATGCAGTAAGTCAGTGAATGCAGCACTAAGGTTGACAGCACCTGTGGGATACCATGTACAAAACATGTTGGTCATTCTATTTGCTGTAAATTGAGTTATTTTAGGAGCTTGTCTTGGTATATTTATACACTATTGTAGTCATTTAGTACACAGGCATTATTACTGTTGCTACTCAGAAATTACACAGTACATATTGTAGACTGATACACAAACCCACAATCTCTTTAGCAGCTGACGTTGAATCAGCTTGTGTTTTCTCTGCCGGGATGTTGTGAAGTAGTAAAATAAGAACGTGCTGGTTAGACTTGTTTCCTGTTAGTGCATCACATTCATTTCCTATTCTTGCTTTATACCTTGTAGGGGCAAGATACATGAGGCAAAGTGAATGTTGCCTCATGGATCAGTTGGTCTAACACAAAACCATGTACTCATGCATAACACTGCTAAATCTGACCAAAAACATTATATATGACACAATTAACTGGAGGACCCTGTGTGTGAAATGAAGTGACAGTGAAGCGATAGAGTTTTGTCAGACTGAAATGAGTCACTTAGTTTCACTAGTTTCTTTCATATCATTTATAAGTTAAAAACAACTTTAAGCCCACACAGGTGCAGGGAGAACATGGCGACAGAGAACACCCAGGGGTTTGAACAGGGGGCCTAGTTGTTGAGAAGCAACAGTGCAAAACACTGCACCACCAGAACTCAATGGTTACTGAACCAGAGCTTCAGAAATCCTCTGAGATGTGAGGGTGACCATCCCAGCAGTTCTTGAGTGCTGAGCTAGACAGGAGCCATTTTTGAGTAAAAGACACACGACTCCCTGCTTGAGTTTCTCAAATGGTAATTAAAGCTGAGACTGGTCAGAATGGAGGAGGATGAGTGCAGCCATAATTCAGAGAGGTCTTTGAAGAAAGTCTGCTCCAGACTGCACATGACCAGGGACTGGGATCATGTCTGTTCACCTTTCAGCTCTACAATGACCTGAAGGCAACGCTAGTTAGAGACAGGTCTCTGCCTGTCCTTGGGTGGTTCAGGCAAAGAACGTCTGTGCAGGGAACTGAATGGGACAGTTCACAGAAAGGTTTCTAACTATCTGACAGAGATAGAAATTAAAAGTGTAGAACATAGGTACAGAATATAAACAGCAGCATCATAGTAGAGCTGTGTTCAAAGTTTTATCAAAGCATCAATGACAAAATATTCTTAAAGTACCCAAACTAAAGTATTTTGTGTGGAGTGACACGTTTCAGAAGAATTGTTTTATAAACCTATTTACATTCATTATGTGCAAGTCTTTCACTGATTATTTGTTTTTGCATACTTTTATTCCTTATATTGAAACGAACAGTCATTTGCTTCAATATCACTAACATGACCTCGAGTCGAGTCTGAATCCTTGGGGCTTGCAGACACCACAGGAGCAGCATGGAGGCATGTTGTGGTTTTTTTCCCCCTTTGAGAATCGATCCCTAGTTACTTTAATTGCATTGGATGAGCTGCAACACCATTTACCCCTGGAACTCCAAAAAAAAGTGTTTTGTGGACTCGAACCCTTCAGCAGCCTCCTCCCCCCATCTGCACAGTGCTGAGTGGATAATGGATGAGTCTTTTTATTTGGAGGGGGTGATCTCTCCCTTTTAAATCCCACACTGTGATTACATTTCCCCTGGGGGCTTTTAACTGGGAGTAAACGAATCGATGAGGTGACGGTGGAACACACGCTTTTTCCACGGCGGCGGAACTGCCCCCCCTTTAACGCCTCCGCCAATGGGAGCCCTCGTGGCAGATGCGGACCAATCGGCGCTCGGGATTCTCCGCCAGGGCTGCGCTCGTGCTCAGCCTCGGAGTGTTGACGCCTCCGCTTCTTCACAAGTTCAGAGGCTGCGTTGTGTCTCCGTGTGTTTGAGAAACCAGAGAAATGGCGGAGAGGTTCCCGCGGTGACCCCCAGCTGCTCCACACGAGAGCCGGACACGGATGTGTGTGAGGGCGGCGGCGGCGGAGCTGTTCGTTTCCAGACTGCTTCTTTTTTTTTTTTCGGGGAATTTTTCTGGGATCAATCTTCACGTGTGTGTTTTTCTCTCTTGGTCACATTTCGGTGAGTGAACTCCATTTGATATTTACACCGCGGGTTTGATACCTGCGGCTGAGAAGCAGTCCGGTGATGAGGCTGCTCCGTGCCCGTGTGTAGTCGCACTGACAGCGGGTCACTCACCTGGTGGCTGCCCGCCCTCGGGTGCATTTTTGCAGACGAGGCGCATCATGGAGCCCGGCCAGATGTTCGCTGCTGGCTGGGCCTCCGCCTCGAAACTGTACAATAATCCCGTTTACAAACACACACACACACACACACACACACACACACACACACACANCACACACACACACACACAGACTGATGCCAAACAGCAGCTCTGACCTGAACATCTGGTTCACCACACAATTTGTCCTGCAGCTGCAGCTGGATACTCACCTTTAGGACACTGAATGATTTCTTCTGCTTTAGTCTTTAATGCGATCACGAGGAGAATGACCAACATTTTACAAATCTGAGGTAGCTCTAGTGTGTTGTTCCTCCTGCCTGTGCACGATATACATATGCATACATAAGCAGTATATAGATATTTGTTATTATTATTATCGCCATTGGTGAAAATTATACTGGGATCATTATTGAAATTGTTTTATTATCCACTATTATTTAACAATAAACCACAGACTTAAAGGGGTAGATTTAAAAAAAGAAAAGAAATTCAGCCATTATCTACTCACCACTATGCCGATGGATGGGAAGTGCAGTGTTTGAGTCCAAAAAACACTTTCAGGGTTAAACAGCGTTGCAAAATTGAAGTAACTGGGGATCAATTCTTCAAACAAAAAAACCCAGAAAATGGCCCATACTGCTCCCGTGGTGTCATCCAAGTGTCTGTAAGTCCTGACATTCAAATTAGACTCGCAACAGAGACATTTACACCATGTTTTTAGCCTAAATGTTGTCTGTTATTCTTCCTCAGAGCAGCGTTCGTACTTGGATCACAGCCTTTAGGCTAAAATCATGGTGTAAATGAAGACACCGAGTTCAGTGTTTTTTCCAGTTGCAACATAGATATTTAGCAAGAATTGCTCATACACATATGTACACATACATCATCCAATGGAGAGCATTCAAGGACACAATAAGCTCTTGTAGTGATGATGCCTGAGTTTGAGTTTGGAAGTTGCACACTCCCTCTCAGTACCGGCAGGAAGTCAGTGTCACTGCTTCATCCTGCGAGGAACAAGGAGGCTTTCTTTTCAACCTGCTGGTCAAAGGTGTCACCACTCTGCACCAGGGTCAATGGTGCAAGGAAGAGTTCAGAGGCAGTTGAACATGTACCTCTTCATATAACAATTTCACATTTTTTGAGGGTAAACTAGTTCTGCAGCACAAAAGAAAACAAACACGCTCAAAAGAAATACACAAACTAAATCACAGGAGGCATTAAAGGGAACAGCTGGGAGGATGGACAGTTGTATTAAAGTATAGTAACACATTAACCTGAGTTTTGAGGAAACTGCAGATGGAGTTAACCTTGTCAGAATTGCCCTCGGGCAGGAAGTCAGTCCACTCATGATCGGATCACTCAGGACGGATGTTAATCCCAGGTCTGAACGTGGTGAGAGTTTCCTCCCCTGTGAGGACATGAATGTGACCCAGAGTTTCCTGACTGACAGCTATAGTCCGGTGACAGACTGTGATTGCTGGTTGCTGTTTTATTCTAACCCTCGACATGTTTGCTGGTTTGTTCCTGATCAGAGAACACAGTGGTCTTTTCAATGCCAGTTTTTTTTAAGTTGTCACTCTGATAATACTTAGCGCCGTCTTGTCTAGCACATATTTATTGTTTTACTTTCCCTGTTTTTCCAATAACGCTGATATTTGTACCTCCATCCCATAGAGAGGTGTTTCAAAAACTAAAATTCCCAGTATCTCAAAACACATTTTATTTGAACTACATTCTTCACCCATTATTTAACTTTGGACATTTTCAAACCTACCAAACCAAAACTATATGCATGGCTGCACAACATTGATATTTGTATTCTGGTTGTTAATTTTATTCAACCCAACACCCAAAGACATTCAGTATATCACTGTGATTAACTAAAGATCAAATTCTCACATTTGAGAAGCTTCTTAGAGGAAATTGATAGTTTTGCTTGGAAATGACTGACACGATTAATTGATTATCAGAGTAGTTGCATATAATTTTTCTGTCTGTCTTTGAATGGACTAATCCCGGCAGCTCTGTGTCCATGCCAAATTCCAGCTTTTCATCATCGACCAAATGTGTAACTGAGAAAAAAATCAACTAATTTATCAAATGAATACAATTGAAAATAAATATTAGTTCTGCCCTAAAGTGAGATTTTTTTTTTGCAATTTGTTTAAATCCTTTCAGTGTGTAGAATTTTGTGACATCAAGTGTTGAAGTTACATGTAGCAGCTGAACACCCCTCACCTCACCCTCTCCTTCCAAACATGAAAATAACCCCGTGGTAGCTTCAGTTGTCAACATGTTTAGTTTGTCCAGTCTGGACTAATGTAAAAAACATGGCACCCTCATTAGAGAGGGTCCCCTCGATGTGAATATAAAGTATTTAAATATAAAGGGACTTTTCTGGGGTAAAGAAAACTACAATTTAGATGAAATGAACTAGTGAAAACATCATGAGGATTATAGGATAATAGATCCCTTTCACCTAAATCTTACACACTGGACCTTTAACTGTGTTGAGGAAAAAAAGCATCAAGCCTCAACTTAAACCACTGGCCTAATTCTGCAAGTGGCTTAATCTCTGCATGGAAATGCATTAGAATTACATGTAAAGCCAGTGCATACCGCTGGATTTAGAATGGATTAAAGCAGCATCTTAGTTTCCCTGCCAGGTCGAGATGTCCTCATTTCCAGCTGTCTTTCCTTTTACGCTTTGATGGTCAGGCTGAATTTCATGCGCAGGCTTCTCCAGCACAGAGAGCACAGGGTTTCCCACGTGGCATCCAGATGTGAGGCTCACTAAACAACCAGAGAGAAGAAAGAAACCAAAGTAGGAGGCGCGTTCAAACTGGGCTTCTGCAAAATGTAAAGCTGCTGTTAGCGGCATGTAAAATGTATCTTTAGTAATTATACATTCATCATTAGTTATTTGTTAAAGCTAAACTTGCAAGCTTGTATATTTTGTGTTCTAATAATCGAAATTTTACTCTTTCACTTTAATGAAACGTTCCATGTGCCCACTGCAGGAGAGAAATGGGGAAGTTGCAGAATGGCTTGGTCAGTAGTAATCTGATAGTAAACAAATCGCCCTGCCGTGTGGAAACTGTCAGTGACAATGAAAACATGAGGAAGTTGTAATTAGTGGCTTCAGAAACACGGCCTTGGAGAGTGTCTGCATTTCATGCCGCAGTGAAGTTTGATATGGCTGAAGAGTCTGCGACTCCCCAGAGGAAGGATGCAGAATAGCTTCTCCGAGGACAGAAACTGGATTCATTTCAGATCCAATGAAAGTGTGTGCAAGTGTTGTTGGCAAAATAAAGCAGCAGCCTCCATCTCACTCTGCATGCTCATGCTGCAATAGCTCACTCATGCAGGGCAGTGCACTCACTTATTGGACATTTAGAATTAGATGATTTATGTTTTTGTTGGTCAGCAAGTTG